AAAGAAAAGTCTAATTGGTGAGGAGTGTGATTTCTAGTTTTATGTCAACTTGACAGAAGATAAGAGTATTTCAGAAGAACCTCAATTGAGAAAATGCTTCCACCACATTGGACTGTGGGCAAGCCTATGGAGCATTTTCTTCATTGATGATTGATGTGGGAGGGCCCGAGTAACTATGTGTGGTGCCACTTGTCGGTTAATGATCCTGGATACTATAAGAAAGCAGGCTGAACAAGCTGTGAGAAAGAAGCCAGTAAATAGCACTCCTCCATTGCTTCTGCATCAGTTCCTACATTTAGGTTCCTGCCTTAATTCCCTGCACTGACTTCCCTGTAAGATGGTCTATAAGGCATAAACTGAAATAAATCTTTTATTCTACAAATTGCTTTTGGTCATGGCATTTTATCACAGCAAGAGATACCCTAAGACAAGGGCTGAGAGCTCTACTTCTCTGTGGGTATTACGATAAGCTATTAAAGTGATAGTAATAGGTTCTCCTCTGACATCTATTACATCCCTAGCCTTACATAGATGGGTAGGATTCCATTTACAAAGCATGATTTTCCTGTTGAGTGGGCCATGAGTCTTATTAGGAAGCTGTTAGTCATTGTCACAGTGTGAGTACCATTATTGCACCTTTAGGGATATTGTGCTATGTTGGCTATCGAGGCCCATAGGTGTTAAAAGTAAAAAGGACCACTGGTTACTTTTCTCCCTTGGAAACTTGCATACATACCACCTTCCTGAACAATGAAAGCTACTCCTCAGGGAAGAGTCTAACCCATTTATTTGTGTATACCTGAGAATGTACTCCTGAGTTTAAGGCTTATCTCTCTCATAGCTCAATATTTGAAATGAGAAAATACCACTTTTGTTTACATGGCAATGACATTTGTCTCAGCTACATTGCAATGGGGTCACTTTTTTCTATTACTAGATTGTCTTAAATCTTCCTCGAAGTCCTCATCTTTTTTTCATTTTAATGTTGATAAATTTATTTTCAAATATAGATGTTAACAATTCATACATCAACCACCTTTTAAATTTTTTTATTTTTTATATTTTCTTATATTTATTATGTTTTTTCTTATTTTACATATCCATCCCAGTTCCCTCTCCCTCCCTCCTTCTCTCCCATGCCCCCTGACTCTCTTCCCGTCCCATCCCCTCCACTCCATAGGGAGGGTGGTGCCTTCCAGGAGGGATCAACAAAATGTGTCAAGTCATTTGGAGTAGGGACTAGGACCTCCCTTTTGTTTCAAGAGATTACCTTTTACAGCCTGTCACCAGCACTGTACAAGTAAACCTTTTTGTCTTATTTATTTAATTTCCAAATTTTAAAAGTTTTTTTGATAATAACTTGTTTTTCATACAACATATTCTGATCATGGTTTCCTTTCTGTCATCTCCTTATACATTCTTCATACCTCCCCACCATTCCAATTCCATGGCTTCTTTGTCTCTTAAGAAAATAAACAGACAAATAAAATGTAAAGGAAACACACACAGACACACACCCCTACTTTGGTTGAGATGAAAACAAAACTTTTTTTTTTTTAATTTTTTCGAGACAGGGTTTCTCTGTATTGCTTTGGAGCTTGTCCTGGAACTCTCTCTGTAGACCAGTCTGGCCTCGAACTCACAGAGATCTGCCTGGTTCTGCCTCCCAAGTGCTGGGATTAAAGGTGTGTGTCACCAATGCCTGGCAAAAACAACTTCTCTTCCTATTTTGTATATTATAAACAACAATTCTCTCACTTTCTTGACTACACAGAGTGGAACTAAAGGTCCACCTCATGTTTTGGCACTTATATGACTTACTGTGTCTTAAAACTTTTGTTTCCCATGACAATGAATTCCTTGTGAAAACTGTGAATTATTCAATGACAATGTTACTAACTCCCTTCCTCTCTAAAACCATGAAGAACAATGGAAGCCAGAGGCATTTAGGCCCTTATGAATGTCCCACACAATACCTGCAAATCTAATACAGAGAAAACACAGTGATCCACCAGAGTATTTGCTATTATAGATCTTTATTTTGCATTTTGCTATTTACATATTTTTATTTCTGTATCTTTTTCAGAAGCATAATTTTATGATTTATGTTTCACTTACTTGAAGTCAGGACTGATCAAGGTCTTTATTCTCACAAGAATGTCAATTAATGAGCTCATTGTGGGCACCCAGTTATTTAGTGAGGCTTTGCTACTCTGTGACCTTTGTAGGTCAGACCACCCAGGTGACCCAGCTATTTGTCATTCTATTTTCTTGCTTTTCACTGCCTTGGCCCAATACTACTGCTGAAGATCTGCATGTATGTGACTTTACCATAGATCATCTGCTTCCAGAATGTTACTGATTTAGTTGTCACTGGAAGAAGAATACTCTGGTATTATCTAAAGTCATCCACTACAGTACTGTGTAAAATTCTGGTAAATTTACCTTTGCTGATGAATACTAATTCCAGGGATACAGTCTGCCATGCTAGTGGGTGCAAATTCTGACACAGTTCACATGGATGACCCTGACAAGTTCGCATATTTCATAAGACCCTGACAAGTTGGCATATTTCATAATTTAATTATACCAGGTAGATACTTTAACATCATTCCCCCTCCCTTGAAAGCTCAGCATTGATAATATAGATTTCATATTAATCACAGGATATTATACAACAAACACAAACACACTGCACTTTTTGTAGGGCAAGTTCCAATTACCTTGGATGTATGTAGAGTTGTGGAATAGCTAGAAAGTTCCTGCTTACTACCACAGGGTATCATGCAGATGGATTGCTTAGTGAATGCATTCAGTAATTATAGCTTGAAGGTGTAGCTGCTGTATATACAGAGTAAGGAACCTCATTAGGAATTGTTACAATCTCAGGAAAACTTGCTTCTAAGTATGTTAAGAGTTTGCAGCCTTGATGTTAACAAGGATGATAAGACTACATCAGATGAACTCTATTAAGACCCATCAGATTGTTCTCTCTGTAAACACCCCGCAGCGCAAATAAAACTGGGCAGGAAATGCATCACATGTTTCTTTAACAAAGTGACACTGTGGTGTCCTGCTCATCTATGAATTCTAGGGTAAAAGATAAGTAGAAAGCAAGACAGGATAGAGTAATAAAGTGGGGGGGGGGGTTGCTCCATCCCAGATTCAGTAAGGTTCTTCCTTCTGTCCAAGCTCTTAGACTGGCTGAACCCCAGGAGCACTGTTCAGATGTTCTGCACTTCCACAACTAGTTGGTGTTGGGGAATATTGGGAAGGAGACATAGGCAGCCAGATAGGAGTGGGTGTGCCTACATGGCTGGAGAGGGGCTGGGGGCAGCTGGGATTAGGCTTGACAATGGACGACACAACACACACAGAACACAAGGGGAGATCTGGCAACTTTCAAGTAAGAAAGACCCCAGTCATAGAAAAACCAGAAGATTCAAGTTCCTGAAAACTTGTCATTGCCAAATCTCCACAGCACTTCCAACACTTAACCTTACAGAGTATGGATTGCAGTATAGTTTAACTGCTCTCATTGCAGCACAATAGGGCAAAATAGTCTTTTAGTGTATGATACATCTAGCTATGTGGATATTTACAACTGGCCTCTCTGCCCTTCCTCTGCTGTCCCTTTGTCCCCACTACTTCAATTCCTCTTTGTACTTTTACTTCAATGATGTGTTCAACACTTCAAGATTGTAGGGCTCGCAATCTATGAGCACAGCCAATGAACACACAGATCCCAGATGAGAGCTCTGGTCCTCCGTTTAATCTGGGCACCTTTGTGCTGGGTTCCCAAAACAAAAGAAGTAGCCTTACACATTTTTGGAGTAATTTCCTTGTTTTGAGTAATCTTAAAAATATGTGTGAGTTGTATGCATGTCTATGTGTGAGTGTGTATGTCTGGCTATGCCTGTAAATATAACTAGACGTATGAGTGCTCCTGATGTGAATGTATGCATCGTGATGGTATAGGAATGTGTGGCTGTGTGTGTGTGTGTGTGTGTGTGTGTGTGTGTGTGTGTGTGTGTGTGTGTGTCTGGACCTGCATCTATGTGTGGAGAAAAGAAGGAACAATACACTGGGACTATCTAGTCACTACCTGGGGCTCCTTTGCACTTCTACTTGTCTGACTCTTTCCTTGAATTGAGTTAAACTCAGAAATGTTCAAATTACAAATTGAATGTAGAGTTTGTGCCTTACTCAAGTAGCCAACAACTGTCCTAGTGTGACCTATAAATATACTTCTCCAAAAGGCCCACAATCACAGTTCTTGTCCGCAGCCACCTCAGGCACCGTTGGTTCTTATAATGCAGTTGTGGGCACCCACCATTCTGGGCATATCCTTTCACTGCTTGTATATAGCTGCAACTAACCCTCATCTGTGACAGGGTCATATAGTGAGTAGGGTAAAGGAATGCATTTTAAACTGTAAACAACCTCTTCTCCAATTCTCTGAACCCTTACCCCATTGTCCACACATCATTTCTATTCCCAGTTAATTTTTTGGTACCTTTCAGCAAAATGCTCAGCATGCCCAGTTTATCCCATGGATCAATCACTCAATTACTCTATAGCAGACACTAACATCACCCAACTCTTACAACTACGTGCACTTCCTCTGGGCCTTCTTCCCAGGACACAGCAGAGATGGGTGAAGAAAGAGTGAGGAGTTGATGGAAACCAATGGACCCTGATCTCTGGCTCCCTAGAACTGGAAAGAAACAATCAGTCCAGCTAAACAAGACTCTCCCCACTGTGTCAAAACAGGTCACCAGAGTCCTGATTTTCTACAATTACCTTTAACAGAGAACACATATGTTTTTTATGTATGTCCTTTTACACCAACCAAATTTTATAAACACAGTATACAAACATATACTTTCTATAGATATGTACACAATGCATTCACCCATTCACCCACGTTGTTATATGTACACATGTACACAACTAACACTCTAGTAGAGACACATACACATAAACTATTCATCCACACAGTGAATATATGCATTCATACATACTAACATAGAATTATATTACTATAGTGCTATTTAACTTCTCAAATGGTTGTATGGCACATAGACTTACTTGGATGCATGCACACTCATCCCCAGGGATACATAGAAACATACAAGCACAGAAGTACAGTTAAGGACATGAGGTATAGGGCTGAAGGAAAGGCTGCCTATAAAAGAAGGGGAAGAATAGACTGAGTGCTTGGAAAAGCTCCCTCATGACCTCCTTCAATGAGCTGGTGCTTCCTGGAAAGTTGGCGTGCAGGCTCATCCTACTCTCATGAGGAGCCCTGTTGAGAGAATAGGGCCATATTCTCCATTTGCTCAGTTCATGTTCAGTGGCTGCTTAGTAGCCTCTTCCTACAGAGATGCTGTAGGTCCTGTCCAGGGAGCTTGGCAGCCTGACAGGTAGATTCTTTAGGGATGTCCCTTTGAGCAAAGGGAAGGGGCAGTAGGGAAAGTACATCAGTTGAGAGTTAAGAAAATAAGGAGAAAGAACAAGCATCCATAAGCATGGCACACAAGCTCTACTTTTTCCTTGGAACACTGGGAACAAGGTGCTTTGTCTTCCCTGGCTCACAGGGCTCCTGTGAGGATCCAACGATGTGATGGGTCAGGGAGCTCGTTGCCACTTACTATGCACTAGACAAACAGAAAGGGTTAGTATATAGATTCACAGTACTTGTCCATATGCTATTTTAGGCTGATAGTGAAATAGCAAGTCTGATCTTTCTCAACCAATGCTTATTCATTAAGTGCTTCTATTGTAACTAGTAATCAACTCAGCAACTGCTAGAAAGCTAACTCCTAACTGAACAGAAGTAGCGAGTCCCTACTGTCAGTCATTGTGAAACAGAAATACAGGCAAGAGAAGGTCTAGTAACTTTAAAGATAACAGCTGATCATGTAAAAATTCCCGCCTGCCATCACCCCGTTGTGCTCCATATCACTGCTGGAAGCATGCATTTTTACTTACCCTGCTATATCTCTTTGCAGTCTCTCCCACCTGCCCTTCCCACTCCTGTACCACAACTCCCTACTCAATGTACAAGGCACTTACAAATGTTTCCCAACTTTCTTCTTGTCGGAAAATCCTACCCATGCCTAGCCCCTCCTCTGCATACCTCAGGCCAGCTTGGCTTAACTTCTCCCAAATCCCTTTTTAACAAAGTCCGTGATACCCAGGGGGAAGAAAAAAAAAGTGATGTAAAAGTAATTTCAACACCTTGAGGGGACTAAAAGGAAAGCTCTCAGGAATGTTTGTGAACCAGGCTCAGAGTCTCCTCATTCCTCATCCTGCCTTTTCTCTGTGTTCTAAACCCTCTACACACTTCCAAGGGCATTTCTAGGCTGATGGACTGTTCAAGGTGTTTGAAAGGTAAGGGAGAGTCGTCTAGCAGGAGGAAATCAATGTGCAATTTATCTTCAAGTCTTCCTCAATCCCTTGCGCTCTGGCTACATGTTTTTTCCATCTCCTCCCCACATCATAATAAAGAAAAGGGCCCAAAGGATTTGATTGCCCTAAGAACTGACAAATAAAATAAAGAGAAGAGGGAAAACAAAACCAAAGGAACTATGAAGGAAACACATCATAGTATATCTGCTGCTGTGGGGTATGGTAATCTAATAAATGTGGTATAACCAGTAAACCACATTGAACAACCCAAAGGAAAGAGGGAAGAGGAAACGGGACCACCTATCAACCTTAGGGACCCGGACAGGATTAAAGAGCTGGAATGAGAACCCTTCATTGAATGAGCACCCAGGGCTTGGGGGCCAACTCTCCTCAGACTCTGAGCTACTGTCCTTCTCTTGGTCACAGGCCATGAGCTCCTCATCAGTAAGGCTCCAGATACTGTCAGCATCCCCCTTGTGTAGTTCATCAAGGCCAAGCCAGCTGCTCTTGATACTGATGTCATCCTGTAAGATCTCAATCTTATCAAGGTCCCAACTTGCTTCTTGCACACACCTCTGGCCACTGTAGAGTATGATCCTTCCACCGGGGTTGCTGGCATGGCCATGACTCTCATCAGAGCTTAGGCTCTCTTCGGAATCTTCATCACAATGGGCCTCAGAATGGTTGTGGATTTTGATGGGGATAATACTGTCATTAGTGAGGAAGCCATGAAAGTGAATGGTACAGTCATGCAGTGTTTGCTGAGAGGTGGAGGGCAAATCACTCAGGCTTTCTCCAGTGGCCAATTGGGCCTGGCTTGAGTTAGAAGAGAGTGGGCTGAGGTTTTCTGAGGTAGCCAGCTGAGCCTGCTCTGAGGTGGACACCAAGGATCCAAGACTTTCTGGGCTTGCCAGATGAGCCTGCATGGGGCTATCAGGAAGGGGGCCAACTCTTTCTTCCCTTCTGTCTTCCACATTAATCAGGCCATCCTTTGAGGAGATAATGGATAAGCTGATTAGTTTCATATCACTTAGGGTGCATAAATGGGGGAAGTGAAAAAGGAGGGAACTTTCCTGATTAGTGCTTTCAACGCTACTGTTGATGCCTTTGATAACCTGTTGGATTCTCTGGTATGCTCACAGGGGTTGAGAAACTGGACCAGAAAGTTGTTTTAGCATGCTGTAGCCAAGTAACTGTCTTTCTGGGGGGGGAAGTTGTGATCTCAGGAGTGCTGTGTGATACATGTAGGCTTCAGGTAGGGTGAGGATGCTAAGGAGAGGTGTTTCTGGGCATTCATGTATATCCCAAAGCAAAAGGCCTAGTTATGTTCTCAGGTATCTGAAGTGCCGGGGAAGGAAAAGTTTGAAGGCCAGCTTCTCTGGTATCTGTCTCCCTGAGCTTCCATTTTGGTTTCATCACTTGCTCTGGAAGCCCAAAACAAATTTGGCTCAAAGATGTAGAGAAATCAAGTTCTGACTTTTCTTGCCTTGTAATATCAAATGATGATCATCTATAGATGAGTGTGGGCATGCCTGTCATGTACAATTAATGTATGAGGATTAAAGCAATTATAAAATATGAAAGGGTCAATGCTAAGCCTAGGCTGAGGAAGTGCTCAGGGAAATCTGGCTGTCAGTCAAAATGTCAAACCTGCACATTTCCCACCACCACTTCTTGGTAGCGGTATCTGGCAATAACTCTCCTGGGTTTCTTGCATCTCCTGCGATTGCGCCGAGATTCTTGGCTGAAGAAAAGGTAGTTGATGTAGACATACTCCAGCAGGGACAGGAACACGAAGAACAGGCACACAAGGATGTAGATGTCAATGGCTTTGATACAGGAAATATGGGGGAGTTTATCTCGCATATGTGAGTCGATAGTAGTCAGGACAAGAATAGAAGTTAGGCCTATGGACAACACAGTACAGGTTTAGTATTCCTTGATAAGTGCAGTTTCAGCAAGCCACTGTGTATACATCCTAAAGGAGGTGAGCATAGGCCATCTTTCAGGTAGAGACTTTGCTCATGTCCTCTCCTTGTTCCTTCTCCCTATGATTCACCAGGTTGATTGCTCTGCATCAAGTTCAAATTCCTAGTCATGGTTTAAGTACTTTACATCTCCATTTTTATATAAGTCTTCTTTTAGTATCTGAAGAGGGTTTCTAAACCCTAAAATATCACACATATAGCTGTATTTGTGCTCCTAAAGGAAAAGATAGAATAATTTGCCCTACACAAGGCAAAAGCAAACCACGAAGTCCAATATCCTAGGCTGTTCCTTGCTTAAAACATTTCTTGCCTCCTCCAAACTTAGACCTGAAGTTCAAGGTCTTCCCAGTTCTGCCTTTACTCTTTTTCTAAGCAGAATGACTCAAGTTTATTCCTGAGATGGTGATAGAGAGGGCTTACCAATTGTCACCCTGGCTGCAGAGGAATCATAGTTCATCCAAAATGATATCCAGGAGAGAATGGTGGTGAGGACTGTGGGCCAATAGACCTGCACAAGGTAACTGCGGACTTCCCTCTGAACCTGGAACTTCACTATCAGGCGCATGTAGGAGCCTGTATGAATACACAGCGGTGTGAGGCCCATGTGGCACAGCAAGTCAGCTCTAACACCCTCCTTCCTCACTCATTACACATGAAATGTTTTCAGGTTGCAAACAGATGGAGAATGACAGGCCAAACCTGTGAGGAGCAGGAATCATTTCCAGCTGTAGAGTATTGTCAACCCGCCAAACCTTCTATATTTGTTCTCCATCTGTAGGGGTGAGCCATTAGCCACTAGGGATTTATCAATATGGGGAGATCCCAAAACCAAAGGAATGTGAAAGAAGGGAGCCAATTATAAGGATCAAAGGCAGATGTCCCCAAGAGTTTGTAGTAGTGTAAAGGGTACAAGAAATGAGAGAGAAAGAGGGACTCTCACCCACCTGTGTAGAAATACACCTCCTTGCTAGTAATTGTCCTCCCCAGGTAGGTAAACTGAGGGATGTGGAGCTCATCAGTAATGTGGATAGCATTCTCATCTTCCCAGGATAATACAATGTCTTCAATGGTATAGCCATCTGGGAGGTGAAACAAGGAGTTAGTGTAGGCAAACTTCATTCCACAGTAGTCTGTGAAAACCAAATCATGGCTGGCACTTGGAATTTGTGTGTGTGGGTACTTTGTGGTTTTCTGTGTGTGAGAATGGGGAAATTCTAAATACTTGCAAAGAGAGGACTTTCACTTTGGAGTTTTTTAGGCAGGAAGGAATGTGTAGCAAAAAGGTGTTATGAACGTTTATCCACGAGTATATATAGTTTTTCAATTGAATTACCTACACTATAAAGACCACCCACTCTCCGGTGCCAAATGTATACAGTTGTCAATTCACTATTTAGCCATTATTCATCTATCATTTATCTACTACTTCTGTGCATATTTGAGAGGAGATATTGGAATGCAGAGAGGAGGAGCTGTGTTCTTCCTTCTCAGTGTCAACTCCACTCATGCTTTCCTGAGTACAGCAGCCCTACTCAGGTATGAAGGGTCCACAGGAGAAATACATACAGCTCTCCACCTCCAGCTTGCAGGCTTGCTTGTCCATAGGGAATTTTTGCAGGTCCAGGGAACAGGCTGCTGTTGTAGTAAGTCTGCAAAAGAAAGCAAAAAGGAAGGGGAAAACGATTCAAGTTTATTCCCAAGGATTCTGCAGGATGGGGAGGCAAGAGTTAAGTGGAGGATAGACCCATGTGTGTGGAATATTGCGAAGAGAGATACAATTGGAATTTCACAAAGAATCACTGATGGGAGATATCATTCTGTAAATAGGTTTCTCTTATTGGTTAATGAATAAAGTACTGTTGCCCAATAGCAAAGCAAGATAGGCGAGACTAGGATACTAGGAGAGGAGAGAGGAAGTAGGAGGCAGGAGATCCAAGATGGTGGACTGACAGAGAGAACGCCAGCCCCTCTCTCCAGTAAGAGGAGACCACATGGAAGTACTTAGATTAATAGAAATGGGTTAATATCTAAGACAGAGCTAGCTGATAAGAAACTAGAAACTGGCCAACAAAATTATATCTAATACAGCATCTCTGTGTGTTATTTGGGGCTGGCACAGTCGGGGAAAACCTTACTCATAACAAATCACAAGATTTGTGAGATCCAAAACAAAGAACAGATAGATGTCATGTCAGAAAAACCATAGTAGGGGGAGGACCCTTGAGGAAACAATACAGAGACAGAAAGACTTGTGCTTGTTAAATTATCAGCAAGACTGCTTAGAGAACACTGTGTGATAGCCACTGGGAAAGGCAGGTATGTGGTGTGCAAGTATAGATGTGGGCAATCCCAGGTCCACCTCTGGCCATATCTCTATGTGTCAGTGGTGAGGGCCTATGTGGCACCAAGAGGTATAAAGATGTCAGTGGGCACAAAATGGGTCCTTGGAGGACCCGGATAGTGCTGTCAGTAGTTACAACCAGAAGAGTTGTTGTGCACCAGGAGAGGAATCTGAGATAATGGCCTTGGAGGAGCCAGGGAGGTGACATGTTTGAAAATGTCATAAAGAAAAAAGCTCTCTGCTGCTTCATATCTGTCCCATCTCCTTTTCTTCATTTCCTGTCAGCTAACTTAGCTTAGTCCTTATCAATCCTTGTAGGAATTTCATTTTGGGGACTTGATAGTGGGTAGTATGTATATGTGTGTGTACTTTCCTCTTCTCTAAAAAGGTGACTTACCCAAGTATTACTCATCATCCAATGCCTCCTTTACTTTAAACAAGACTGAGTGATTATTGATCAGTTTCAGGTAAGCATTGGTGTTCAATGACTTCATGGGAATGTGGATGGAGGAAGAAGGAAGGAAGGGGAAGAGAGAACCCCTGAGTAAGAGAAACCCAATGTTTAGATCTGTAACAACCTGTCAAATAAACCCTGGTAGCTACCACCAGGAAACATTTTTCTGAGCTAAGATGACTTCTCAGCTTGCCTTTACTGACAATGTATTTGAGCTGAAACTGTGAAGTCAGCTTTGGTGACTTCTCTATTGCAAATATGTAAGTGGAGACTACCAGTGTGCATGTATTCTGTATGAAAAGAAAGCAGGGACTCAGAAGCCCCACCCTAGCCCTTCTACAGCACTAGCTCCCCATGTCTCCTGACACGTGTGTGGTGCAAACACATGGAAAGGGGGAGAGGTGGAGCATCTTCTTCAGTGTAAATGCTCCGGCATTCATCAGTCTCTCTGCATACACAAAAACTGGAGGAAGAGGTCTTTTGGTCCAGGGAATTGGGATTTCTTTAAAAAAATCTGTATGATAATTATACAAAAATTAATGGAAACAGTATTTTCTTTCACAAATGGCAGGCAACATTGTAAATTCCTTTCCTTATTGTACACAAAATAAAGCAACACTGTTCCCAATGTGCTCAGATTCCTTAATACAACCTCCATTAAAGAACACATCTGAAAGGGCAGAAGTTGGCTACAGTATCTAAACTGGGACCTTGTGGCAAACTCTGAAAGTGTATGTGCCCACAAGGCAGACCTAGAAAACAGGGATATCTTCTGTATATCCCTCCTAATGTATCTGTGGGATACACAGTAGGAAGAACAGCCCAAGACTCTTATGTGAACTCACCGGATGCCGTATCGCACTGTCCCATCTGGGTGAAGCTGAAACACACGATTCTCCACAGTTACATCATGCACAAAGGCATTTTTGCTATTCACAAAGTAGCAGTCAGGGACCCAAAGCTTCTCCTGCATACGATAGTCCAGAGTCAGGTTCAGGTTAGTTTCATAGTATGCTAGGCGTGTGTCCTTCCATGTCTGATGCAAAAACATCGTAATTGTGTAGTCCTGGGGAGAGATAAGTAAATAACAGTTGTCAGGTCGTCTAGCTCTCTGTCTTCTGTATACACAGATCATATGTTTGCACTCTCTCTCTCTCTCATATATATATATATATATGTATGTGTGTGTATATATATATATATATATATATATATATATATATATATATATATATATATATATGAAACACACCATACAGATGGGTCTATAAACATAAGTATGTTTAAGAAAGAACAGCAAAATAAAGCTTCTATAATTAATACCTAGGTTAAGAAACAGAATGTCACCAATAACTTTCAAGTTCCGGTGTGTCATTTTCAAAGGAAATTTCTCACACCCAGCAGGAAGCATTCATTATTCATGACTTTATGACAGTATTTCCCATGGTTCAAGTTAGAGTTTCATTGTCACCATGCATATTTTTTAGAAACACAGTGCTTATTTGGACTTCTTTTTGGAATGTTATCTAATCAGAACCAAACTGTATGGCTGTAATCTGTTCCTCAACCCCTCAATATTGTATTTGTGAGGCCCATTAAAGTTGCTGTTTGTAACTTTAATTTGATCTCTTGTATTCCTGGAGACTATTTCCAGATATGAACACAATGTATATATCCATGTATAAAGCACCATACATGCCCAAACCAGGAAGAAATAACAATGGCAAAGCAAAAGTGGTTGTTTGCAACCCTGCAAAAGTTGAAAACAGGTGAGGGTTAGCAATGCTTCCACCTCACCAACATCAGCAGCATCTGACTCCTGTTTTGGCCAATCTGGTACATACATGGTGTACTCTCACTGTGAGTTCATTTTGCTGATTACTAACAAGGTAAAACATTTTCTTATATGTTCATCTGCTACTTAGTTTTCTTCACAAAACTATTCATATTTGCTTCACAATTCTCATTCATATTTGCTGATCATCTCTGATTGCTTTAAAATATTCTTATCAATTCTCTGGCATTATGTATATGTTTGAATACCAGCTCTGTGTTGCAAATATCTCCGCTTACTCTGAATTATCTTTTCACTTGCCACAGTGGCTTTGTTTTGTAAAACTTAAAGTTCAGAAGTTTTGGCAATACAGAATTGCCTATAGCCAACATCAAATAAATCCAATAACAGTATTTCTTTTTATTATTTGTAATCTGTGTGTCTTATGAAATAAAACTTTACAGTGCAAATACAGTGTGCTATTAAAACTTTTAAAAGCTCCTTAGATTTTCTTTTGAGTTGATAATGTAAATGTAACTGAAGTTTTGGATATGCTGTGATTCTGGCCTTCAATTGACCTTCGTCTATTCCAGAGGGCTGTCAGGTGAGTTCTGTCACAGGTCAGAACACTTAGAGTTGGCTAATGACTATGCTTTTGCCCCTTGTGTCTAGCACCATTATTAGAACCTATAGACTTACCATATTTATTTCTGAGATCTGTTCAATACTGGAGACATAGATGGATACTGACACAGGCACAGGGGCACCTACAATACAGGAAGATACAATCACATGAACATTTGGATAAAGGTTAAGAGTATGTACTTAGGACCCAGCTGTCTAGGCTGGTGTTCGTTGGTTGTGTGGTCTTGAGTAAGTCATTTAATCTCTCTGAGCCTGAGGTTCCTCATGGGTCAAAGAGGGATAAATGCTATCATAATTAATGAAGGTCATGTGCTCAGAGCAAGGACTGGCTCATGCTATGCTGAGAGGCAGGTATAAAGTCAACACAAAAGGAAAATATGAAGCACTGTGGTAAATGTTTTCTGATAAAGAGCTGAAACTCAACTAGGAACAAGGGCTGAGATTCATGTTTCTGGGTGAGTGAAGGTGAGTATGTCCATATTTGCTAGTGAATTTAGGAATGTGTTCATATTCATGTGAATCTGTCCATATGTGTATGTGAGCATTTCTGTGCATGAGTGAGTATATGAGCATGTTTGCGTGATCCAGTTTGTTGTGTAGGAGATAACATATGAGAGAACACAAGTGCGAGTGTAAAATGAGAATATTTATCCCGAGTCAGCAAATGTGTGACTCTGCGTTATGTCTTCAAGCATACACAAGCATGTATGTGAAAGTATGGTGTGAGTATAGTTGCATGTGAATGAATGTGCGATTTTGTATGCTCATATGTAGATGCTGTGAGCCTGTGTGTATGGATGAATTTGTGTGAATGTGGTTATATGGCAGTGAACATGTGAGCAAGTGAATGAGTATGAGTGTGATTTTATGGAATAGGATTGGATGTGATGTTTAGCATTAGAGTGTGTACTATGAATGTGTGAAAATGTTTCTGAGTAAATGAATGTATGTACATGTCTGTATGTCTGTAAGTGTGTGTGTGTAAGTGTGTGTGTGCATCTGTTTGAGTATATGTAGTATATTTATATGTGTTAGTATTTTTGTGAATCTATCATATGTCAGTGATATGTGAGCAGGTCAATGTAAGAGTAAATGAGGATACTCACCTCATTGTATTGACATGCATGTAAGTGATCATGCTTGTGTGATGTCTTCACGTTTATATATATAAAAACATGTTAGCATTGTCACATGTGAGTAAATATAAAAGTATGTGTGTATCTTAACATGCATGTGTATATTATTGAATTTGTACCCCCTTTCAGCTTGTTAGTGACTCTGAGTGTATGTGATCATATTTGTGAGAGAGAATATGGGTTTCATTTTATGTGACTGTGGTCATGTGTGATGCTGTAAGCATGTATGTATAAGGATGTTAATGTATATAAGTAAATTTGCTAGTGTGTTTGGGTTTGTGGGCATATTTGAATGCATCAATAGGTACTATGTTTGTCCATATGTGGGATGAATTAAGGAGTATGTTCATGTAAGTAAATGTAAGTGTGAGTTAACTGTATGGTTGGATACAAAAAATATGATAATATATAGTATGATACAATTTATAGTTATATTTGCGTGTTTATGTATTAATATGTTACCATATATTAAAGTGTGAGTGAATTTTTAAGTATACATATATGTGCACTCATGTTTATGTATACATATGAACACATATGTGAGTGCTGATGATTTGTCAATGGGTCAGGATATTTATGTGTATGTTTTTGGGCATGTTAATGTTTGCTCTAATGTGTGAATGTATGTGGACATAAATGACTAAGTATGAGCATATTTGTGTTGAGGGAACATGTGATGAAGTGTGTTCATATATAAGTAAGTTGGCAAACTCATCTATGTGTATAGATATATTTGCCTACATGTATTTTCATGGCAATGAACATGTGAGCATATTGATAAGTATGAGTGTTTTCATGTAAATGTCTGATTATGTGAGCTAATATGTGTATTTGTATATGCAAATACATTTTGTGATTTTTTTCTGTATGTTTCTGCATGATCAAGTATGATGCTTTTATATGTGTGTGTGTTTGTGTGTGTGTGTATGGCCATTTGTATGTATATTAATGTATGAATTTAGGTCATGTTTGTGTGTGTGTGTGTTAATGTGTGAATTTTAGTGAATAAATCATGCTTATGTGTGTCTATGTGAGTGAATCCATGAGTGTGCTCATGTGAATGAATACTGTGTGGTGGTGATTTGATTAATGTGCAATTGTGACTGAGTGAGGAATTCTACATGAGTGTTCTGCTTCCTGGTTTTTTACCCCCTTAGGCCTATGTGTGTTCAGTATCCATTGGCAAGACTCCACAATCATGGTTGTGAAAACAGTAAGTTGTTAGGTACTATGGAGAAATACAATTTACTATTCTCTCATCAGCTTACACCAAAGTGTATTACATCACACTGCTGCTAGGGAAATATGTGTATGTGTGATGCTTGCAATTCCAGCCTGCTGGTTTCACTGCAGGCTGATTGCCTGCCTAGAAGCTGAGCTGAAGAGAGGAAAATGTGTTATTTCTAATCCAGTGCTTCAAAGAGCAAAGTGCTTTGGGGGAATAAGTATATGAATGGTAGCTGAGAAGTAAATGGGGTTCTGTTAGGGCACAGCCCAGACGCTAGTACTTGGGGCTATTGTGAAAAGCCCCAGGAAAATGTTATGTAGTGACAGAGCTTCCTAGACACGCTGTTGGACTGCTGCCTTTCAGGCTGCTTTCCCCATACTTTTGGCAGATGGAAGCTGTGTTAGTAGGCAACAAGGCTCAGAAAGCCCCATAGAAGCCTATATTTCAGCTCCTTTCTCCAAGACTTGACTGCCAGCCCCTTCCTCCAAGGTCAGGCCTATCTAGACCAACCTAGTGATGTCTTTTCTTATGTGGAATGCTGTAGAACTGAAAGGGACAGGACAGAAGCCTGCCAAAGGGCTCTTAGCTTAAGGGAAGTGGGTACTGAAATGTAGTGTATATTTTACGTGCACAGCCATGGTTTGGCACAGGAACACAACCAGAGGAAGGGGACATTGTTCTGATTTCTCTACATAAAAAGGGGCCACTTGATAAACTAGTTCAAGTAGCCCATGGCAAAAAACAAACAACAAACAAAAAACCATAACCAAACCAAGACAAAAAAACAAAACAAAACAAAACAAAAAACCAACCACCCCCAAACAAAATACCTTATGCCTTCCTCCTTTAATGTATAATGTTCAATGTCTGTGACATGTTCTTGTGTGTGTGTGCGAGAGAGAACCAGGAACATTCCTATGTGTGAAGATTAAGCTCTAAGGCTATTTTCCATGTTAAATATAGAGGGGACTGTCTACTGGGAGACTACACAGGGAACTCTGGGTTTCCTAAACCCTGAGTGCTCTAGCCTGGCTGTCTCATCATATTTCTCCCATATAATAGTCCTAGCCTTACAGCCTATATAGTATTGCCTTCTGTTTAAATGGCAGGTGGCCCTAAGAACTTTGTCACCTCTCTTTATTACTTCCATGTGTTTGGCAAAATCAATGTATGGGCACATATTTTATCAGATACTTCAGCCTGATCATAATATTTGGTGTAACGTGAAAGATGGTGGTGAGGGGACGTAGTTCTACTGTAGACCAACTGTGCTGGCCAACACGCAGAGGTGCATTCTTGCTTCTGTTCCCTTCTTTTAGTACTGGATGCTGTATGGATGGCAACCTGTGCCTGAAACAGTGGGGGCGTGTGCTCACTGCATGCAGATTGCTATTGTTTGGTCTTTGCTGACAAACAACATTAGAGTAAAAAAGAGACAATAAATACAAATTGCCCTGCCTTCTTCTGGAGCTTGGCACAAATGATTCAAAGCTAGTATCACATAAGGGGTATTAACTGTGCTTTACCACCTGAATTTCTATACTCCCCACTCACTTGAGGATCCACACGGAAAAGGTACCACCACTGTGGCCTCAGTAGCATAAAGGTATTAGGTACCTTCTGCTTTTCCCAATCTGATATCCCATGCATGCTCACCTTAGAGCCCTTGGTTTGTGCCTTCTGCCATTATGTAGTGGAGGAAAGGGAAGCACAAGTTAATACAGTCTCACTTATTAAATTTAGAGCCAAGGGAAACCTCCTTGGTTTTCAAGGTAGCACGGTATTTTAAGAAGACAGTTACACATGAGTACAAATGTGAATCATTAGTGGCAATTACTCATTCGACTGTGTCCCATCCTACAGGAAGCTGTCCTGTGTTGTACCTCCTTTTGCTATCTTTGAGTTGAAAATGAACTAACCCTAATTGAAAGCACTTCTTCTTTAGTCTGTCCTTGGTTTCAGCTTCTTAGGTGTCCCCGTGGTCACTGAATGATACTCCTATTGTATGGGTTCTGGGTGGGCAGAATCTAGAAAGTGCCCATCGACTTCTTGGAGGCACGTGTGCCAGTTTCCTTGTAACGTCTCATCTCTGTGTTGTGGGTACTCTATTTGTTAGTGGTCATCATTCCGAGTTTTATGAATAACACATGTAGAACAGTATGTTAGATGGACTGAATGTGGTGGGGGCCGAAAACTTGGGAAAGGTCCCAGGCCTAGGTGGGTTAGGTAACAGAGGCAGAGAAGACCATGGCCTCAATTCTGAATTCTCTGAATTACTTAATGGTTGCAACACCTCTGGAAGGGAGTAAGGAAGGAATGAAAGTCCCTGGCATAGAAAGACTCGTACATAGATGTGAGGTACATTCCCGGAAGAGAGCAGGCCTGAGGTTGGTAGTCTGGGGGTGCTCCCTTGTAGGGCTTGGCAGACTCAGGAAGGTAGGATGGGGGACAGAGGTATAGAGTTTGGTTAGTTTACAGGGTGGAACTGGTGCTATCCTATCTAAGCCAGAAGCCTCTGGTTTCTGGATTTGGCTTACCTCCAAAATTTGGTCTCAGTCGGACATCATATGTTGACAGCACCCTGTCCAAAATCTTTTGAGCTACAGCTTCATTTGCACAATTTTTGCTGGAAGAGAGAAGCCATGAGCAAATGCTGGTTGACTTACGGCCCACTTGCCAGTGGCTGGCCAGAGCCATCACTGCCCCTGTACATATGCAACCATGTCCAGTCACATGTGTCTGTCTCCCTCCCTTCTTCCCCTTCCAGCCCACAGTGAGTCAGCTAGAAGCACAGCAGTGACGCAGACTCTGTCCCCTTCCCCTCCCCCTTCACAGCTTTAATCCACAGGGTGGGGCCCAAGGACTGGATCCCTGTTACCACGCAGGAATTGTGGGGAGGGAGGGAAGCACACCACGGGAGAGAGGGGGAACGTGTGCAGATGAGACCCTCAGAAAACTGCACCAGGAAGTGAGTTCCCACTAGCAAGTGTTCCACCTGAGCTGAGCTCATGTTTTCTAACTCAGAGACACATTTCCTCCGAGCATCCCCCCCCACCACATTTATGTCAACATTGTGCTTGAGTATTGGTATATGACGAAGAAAGAGAGAGGTGGGGGCAGGGATAAAGTGTCTTTCGAATGTAGCAAAGATTTATGACCCTCATTGAACTAAACCATTTCATTGACCTGGGATTTAGAGCTGCCTTCGAAAAAAATCCATCCTGGGAGCAGGCATGTCACTCAATATGCATGCGCTTTCAGCCTGGAGGTTGCTTAGGCGGGCACATGTAAGTGAAGCCAGCTCAGTTGCACAGAGCTGGCCTTTCCAGGGATCTCTGAGATGCTCATTGAATTCATCTAGGCATTCAATCCCCAAAGGGCTTTGAAATGACGACAGGCCCCAGGCATCACTATCACTGTGGCTGTTTGGATTTCTGACGCATTGTCCCTGCAATCTCTGTCTGTCTGTCCCTTTCTGTGCGTGTCTCTCTGTCCCTCCATCTCTCCTCCCCCAGCATGTGTTCAGTGACGCAGTCTGGTATGTTGAGAACACTGCAGGGCTGCCTGCTGGAACCTTGCCCAGCTTAACCACTCCCCCTTTCTAGTTTGCTACTTAAAATTATTTCTCATTTCCCTCAATCATAAAATTTAATTTTGTAATGTTTCAAGGTGTGCACATGAATTATTTCCAAATTAAAGAAATACATTCCCGCCTGTTTCTGTCCACAAAATTTCCCATGTGCCAGCACTTCAAATCTACAGCCACCACAAATACACATTTCTTGTGTGTGTGTGTGTGTGTGATCTACACGTCAAGGATGACAATTTTATCCCCTCTTCAGATACTTGTAGACCTAAACAAACTTTAAAGCAAACACAGAGAAAAACTGAAATCTTCAAATGTTTTCACAGGAGTAAGCACAAAAGCTTGCCTCTCTTAAGCCAGAAGGTTATGTCATTTACAGCTACGTATTTCACAGTTAATCATTTCAATCCGCTGTATTTGAAAGACACATGTGCGTGCAAGTGTGTGCGAGTGCGTGTGAGTGTGTGCTCACACATAAACACACAGAGACAGACAGACAGAAACAGACACTTCCTCAACAAAGAGACTAAAACCCTTTACTCAAACAGGTGTCTTTCCTGTTTGTTTTGCGAATTGCCCATTTACACCCCTTCCTCCCATGGGCATCAAAGACCACATCCAGGAAAGCTGCCTGGGACCTCAGTCCTTGAGGATGATCAGGTAGACCCTGGGGTGAGGCTGCTCTTGGCCCACAGGGCCGAAGGGAGGCTTGGAAGGTGCAGCAGTAACAGGTGGGTTGAAGCTAGGAGTATCATTTCACAGCTGTCCCCATACCAGCTTCATCCCCTAGGCAAGCCCAGGTCCGAGTTCCCTGCACCCAGCCCATGCTTATCTTTGTCCCTCTCATGCTCAGCTGGGCTGGGCTGCTTACCAGTTGAAGAGATCCAGGATGACTTCGGGCATGTTGGGGGAGAGCTCGAAGTGGAATTTCGGGGTGGAACTGGGGCCGTTGCTCTCTGCGAGCCAAGTCCTGATGAGCAGCAGGAGCGCAGCAGCTCGCAGCATGCCTCGGATTCCCATGGCTGCGGTGCTCTGAGAACTGCAGTGGACAGCTGGAAAAGCGGACAGGGTTAGGGTGGGAGCGAGTCAGTACAGCGAAAAGGGAGAGGAATCGCTAGCCCTTCAGCACAATCGCGACCCTAAGGAGAGACCTGAAGGGAGCAGGGAGTGTGGGGTTCCTTTGGAGCCCACAGCAGGAAAGAACAGCCACTCCGCAGCAGCTCTCCCCCACGCAGCGGTCCACAGGGCGAGCCTGGCTGCTGAGAGGTGCGCTCCGTCTGCTACCCCTCAGGGCTGAGACTGGATGCTGAGCAGGGCAGGGCGCGCGTCTGGCTCCGCCCACTCCGACGGCATTTCAGCTAAGCCAATCCTGCTGGCGGCAGGAGCCACACAAAAAGGCGCGCGCTCGCCACCCCTTCCAGCCCCTTCAGGCCTCTGCAGTCGTCCCCGGACCAGCGCCAGCCACCAGGTCCAGCCATGCCAGAGGGTGGGGATTACTGCCTAGAGCGGACATAGAGGTGTGTGGCTCTGGGCCTCTTTGCAGAAGGAGAATGATGTGTTTTTCTTAGAAGATGTTGTGTTCTAGATTTTGTATCTTGTAGTGAAAGGAGTGTGGCTGTTTGACTGTCCACACATTGGGGAAATCAGGAGGTTGTTCACAGATCATTGACACTCCAGTAACTCAATGTGCTTAACCCAACGTGCTACTTTCTTTGCCTTGTTGATGGGATCTCTTACCAAGGGGTCTTAGGACAGGGCTTTGACAACAGAGGATGAAACTTGTCTTCTTGGAGCCTAATTTCCCAGAGGGTTATTCTCAACTTTGAGTTCTTAGGAAAAACAAATTCAGGGAACAGGAAGTATTGACCAACTAGAGTCTTCCTAAGGCGTGGTTCATTGCCATGACAGGAAACGTAGAGTTGAAGTTAGGATCCAGGCTGACACCACTGAAGGGGAAAAGAAGGAAAAAGTCAGTGTTTTAGATTTGTACCAGAAGATGTTGTTGCGCCTGAGTTCAAATGCCATCCCATGGAAAAGTCCAGGATTTTTGTTAGGGGGCTTTTATTGTTTCCCCTACCTGGACCAGAAGGGTTGAGAGATGACTTCACACTATCCCCTGTGTCCCTCAGCTTGTGTCCATGATGGACGTAGCTAAAAGAGAGGCATCACAAGAGCCCATGTGCCATGTGATAACAAAAGAGGTGCAACATGTTCACCTCCCAAGTCACGCCATATAGGAGGGCAGAAGTCAAATGGGTCTCAAGTCCAAGTTTCCTTAACTATGCACACTCATATAGAAGCACACCCTTTCTTCTTTCCCTCAGTAGCAGTGACACAACTGCAGATTGCTTGAGCCCAGAAAAGCTTCACTCTCACTGTTTGCTCAATTTCTTGCACACTAGCAAATTCAACTCTTTAGTTTCCTTTTGAAAAGGCATTTTAGAAAGAATATTTCGCTCTTCATAGTTTTCATGCCTTCTCCTGAAGTACAGAGTACTCTAGGTCTTCCCTCCCTTTTTAAATATCCCCCTCTCACCCACTGTTGCAAGAAATGGGTATGAGAGAAAAAAGAAATGATATTAGAACACCGCAGCCAAGCCTGCTGTCATGTTGTGAGCTCTGTCACACCACCCATGATCATCCAGACATCCTTACAGAGATTCTTTGTTTTTCACCAAAAGGTAGGACTAATCTATATCCTTTTGGCTAACTAACTGGATTGTAAGATGGGTAAACCGAGGTCCAGAGAAAGAAGACAAATTGATCCAGTGTCACATAGTAGTAGAGATTCAAGCTAGAAACCTTAACTGTAAGTTTGCTTGCTGTGGAACACCTTTTATTTAGCTCTGACTGAAAATTCAGACAACTACCAGCAGGTGGGAGTAGATTTCTTTGGGAGAGAGTTCCAGCACACAGCAGTCAACTTGTGCATGCAACTCATTGGTCTGGCCTCGCTTGTTCTTAGCTGTCTCCATGACTATGGCTATTGCCAAAAAATTAATGTCGATGATTGATTTCTGTAGTGAGATAGTCCTTCTGTGGCACTGGTACCTTAAATCCCAAAAGGACCCACTTCTGCTTTCCTTAGAAGTAATGCTCTTTTGAAATTTCTCATTCATAAGACCAAATATCACTCCAGATGTAGCTAGAATTGTATACATATTACTACAATGTGTACTGAATGAAATTTTGTCTCAATGTATTACTGTACCCATAAACTTTGTTCAGAGCTTTGACTGAAAATTCAGACAACGGCCAGCAGGTGGGGGTAGATTTGTTGGGAGATTGTTCCAGCACAGGGGAGTCAATTTCTGAAACCAATTAATTGGTCTGGTCTTTGGGCTGAGCCTGCAGAGATAGCTCATTTGGTAAGGAGACTCGCTTTATCTGACGACCTAAATTTGCTCCCTGTAAAAATTACTTTTTAAAAATCAAGGCTGGATGCCCCACAAGCTCTCCTAGCTGTGCTCTCACCCTGAACTTCCACACCACAGTCAACGGTACAGTTTGGCAGCAAAGCAAGAAACGATGAAGTGCAGTGGTTAAAAGTGTTTGTCTCTCTTTCAGCAAACCTGAGTTCAATTCCCAGGAGCCATGGCAGGAGGCTTATAATTGTCTGTGACTTCAACTCAACAGAGTACGAGAGCTGCAGTTTACTCTATTCTAAAAGAAGCTTGAAAATATCTGCAGGGAACATGAAATGACCAAAAGTGTTACAGAAAATTGGAAAAAGAATGGAAGAGAAGGCTTACAGCTCAAACCAGGAACAATGAAACTTGAGAACTGAATGGCAGAAAGTATAGGTGGGGCTAGCAGACTAGCAGAACTCTGGGAAGAAGAGAGAAAGAGATGTAGTCACCTGACAGATGCAGAGGGAGCAAGATGAAAGTGCCTTACCGAGAAAAGATACAGGACTGAGTGTGGCTTTATAAAGCAAATGCAACATAAAAGAATGGCAACTGAGAAAATAATTATTAAATTAGAAGACAAGTTACAAATAATAGTCCAAAGTTCTGCCTGGAGAAACAAATTGCATGAAAATGAGCATGAAAGACCCAGTGGGTAGAATGGAAACGGTCACTGTGCATTTAGATAAAATAGATAAAATAGCAAGATGGGAGAGAAAAGTGAAGAAGACTCAAATTCATGGATCAAAAGAGCTCAAATAACTCCAGGCAGGCAGGATGTATGAAATGAAACAAACTTACAGACAGACACATCATACTGTATATGCTAAAAACCAGACGCAAGGAAATCCACGTAGAGTTTCTACTGAGAAACAGAGCAATTCTGACCTAGGGCATGAGAGGGACACCCTACAACTTTGAAGGAGTTTACTCAATTAATTCATGGATGATTATTTTTAAATATGTCAATTTCAGTACTAAAATTAATTCAATGAACACGTTAAGAATGTGCTTTCTAAAGCAACCTAACAACCTGGGTGTCCTTTCCAAATGTATGAAAGATTATTGTTGTCCCATAGATGTGTGTACCTTTCTTTTCATTGGCCACAAAAGAGACTATTGACTATGGGTGTGAATTACTTATAGCTCAGCTTCAAGGCTTGAAAAAAGAGTTAGTTTTTTTTTAAGTGAGAATGACAAAATGAATTGTGCCCCCTTCTTCGCCACCCCCTTTCTCTTCTCCTCCTGCCTTTGGTTCCCCTTGGATCTTTGTAGAAAAGTCTCCTTTTCCTTATCACTCCCTCATTATTTGCTCTGTTTATATTAAGCAGCTCTGCCATCACTCTATGGGCTATTTCACTTTGCTGCAATGGTATGGAGTTTCTGTATACACAACTAAACAGCTAATAGGCTAGGTTTTGGGTGAGTGAGCCCCTTTCTCATTACTAAATTTGCTATACAGACTGACTGAGGGAAAAAAAAAAAAGCCCTCCTGTCAGCAATGGATAGAAGGTAAATTTTTTTTCCATATGTGAGGTCTCATCTGAATTTCTATATTTGTCTCCAAAGTATTTCATGTATTGTTTTGATTTGAGAGATGCTGTCATATACCTATGATATCTTCTATCTGGAGTTTCATCTCTTTATGCTTTCATCTGGAAAGGATACAGTAACTACCATATCTAGCCACCAGTGGGCAGCAGCGCTCCTGGTCTGATGACAGAGTGAGCCTTTCTGTTTATGTAATTGTTTTTCCTGAATCTGAAGCCAGGCTGATATTTAGGAAAAGAACAATCTCAAAAGCTCAGTGAAACAGATGGAGATAAACACAAGGATAAAATATCCTTTTTAGGGAGTGAACATTAACCAGAGAACGGACAAGCTTCTGTTTATTTCTTTTGTGTTTGTGTACTGTTGGGTTAGGGTTTTTATTGAAAGTAGGTTTTCTCCCCCTACAATATATTCTGATCATGATTCCCCTCCCCTAACTCCACCCAGAACCTCTCCACCTCACCACCCACTCAAATCCTTACCCTTTCTTTTTCTTTCATTACAAAACACATATGCACCTGAAAACAAAGCAAAAATCAACAAACCAGAATAGGACAAAAGAAACAAACAGAAAAAAGAGCCAAAGAAAAAGCACAAAAGACACATACAGATGCAGAGACAAATGCACTTGCATACACAGAAATTCCATAAAAACACAGAACAGCAAACCATAACATATAAGCAAATAACCTGTAGTGTTTAAAAATGCTCAGACAAAGCATTATGAAACAGCGACAATAATCCCTCCAAATATACCATTGAGTTCAATTTGTGTTGGCCATCTACTGCTGAGCAAGGGTCTTCCCTTAAGTGTGGTTTGTATACTTAGCTAGAGTCGGCTGGAGAAAACTCAATTTTCTTTTTGAATGGTTGTCAATAGCAGCTAGCTGGGGGCTTGTCTCCCAGTGCTGGAACCTTATCTGGCTTAGATCTGTGTAGGCCCTGTGCATGCTGCCACAGTGTCTGTGAACTTATTTTATTTTAATTGGCATATAATAATTATATATACTTGCAGGATATAATGTGATAATTCAATACATGTATGCAATACATGGTGCTCAAAACAGAGAAATTAGGATATCCATCATTTCAAACCTTATTCTTTTCTGTGTCATGTATACTTAAAACCCTCTCTTCTAGCTGTTTTTAAAATATATAGTTTCTAATGCTAGTCACCCTATTGTGCGATCCAGACTAGAACTCAATTTTCCTGGCATGTCTATGAAAAGTATGAGGTCCTGACCTAGGGCAAGAGTGAAGAGATGAAGCCTAGAGGCAGCTCCCACTCCCCCCACTGTCTTCAGCTATGCTCACAAATAGGGTTTGGTTCCTGTATTGT